TTTTTTTTTTTTTATGTTAGTAAGGGTATGAATGTCATTTTTGGGTGCGGTAAAATGAAAATGGGTGCGGTAAATAGTATTTCAGTAATCAAAATTGTCACTAATATTCATCACTCTCAAACCATAGTGACAATGGATAAGATTGTCACAATATACATGTTTCCAGTGACAATATTTGTACTATCACTAATTTTTTCATCACTACATTATTTTGGTACATGTCATGTTTAATAATATATAAATAATTTTTTTTATTCCAATAAATACGTTTATATTTGAACAATGATGCCATCATCTAAATTAAAATGTTTTCCTTAATATTACTAGCTCGTGCATCGCACGAGTACCGCAGTAGTCACAGTTTAAACAACCCACCTATAAACCAAAGTTTGGCTTAGAGCACCCACAATGCTTTGGGTCTCTTTAAAAAAAATCACATGCCACGTAGGAAATAGACCTACTCTATAAAAAAGTGTTTCACAATGCAATTAAAAGTGGACCTAGTCTAGCTTATGTGGCAATAAAAAAATGAGACCAATCTCACTCTTGGGTCTATTTTGAACCCAAGTGTGAACATTACAATTAGCAATCATTTACTTTTTATTATATTTTTATTGGTTGTTGGGTATTCTAGACCTAATACTTTTTTTTGCATTAGATATATTTTAAATTTTTTAGCTTGAGTTTGTCCATATCATTATAGATTTAAGTCATTTATTTATCACATATTCAAAAAGGCACCCAGCATTGTGGGTGCTCACAACTATGCATGAGAATAGTATGGTCCATGCTGTCCAAAAAAGTACAAGTTTTTAATTCCGTTGCTGACTTGGCAGGCAGTACATATTAACCCTACAACTGTTTCTGACCAATGGCATCTTTTAAATTAGCATCCTGATTCCTGAGTCTAACCAATGGGGCTAAACAGGACCATGTTAATATGTTATGTGACCCCTCGCAAAATATATATTGAAAAGAAAAGAAAGATTATAATAAATGAAGGAAATAATTTGAGGGGTCAATCTCAAATAAATTATTGAATATATTTTTCATTACAATAATCCAAAGTACAGATATAGATAAATGTGGAAAAAGAAAAAAGATGTAGCAGATAAATACAGGTGCATGTATATGTACGTAATATTTTAAAAAGTCGGGGTCTCTTTGTGGTGTGTGTGTGAGAGAGAGAGGTTTTAAAAGCTAGGCTACATTCATACAAAGTTGAGAGGGTATTTGATATGAATATTTTAATGTTGTTGGGGGTGTCAAAGTGAAAGTGAGTTGAGAGAAAAAAATAGTTGTTCTTGGGGTAGAAGCAGGGGAAGCCCAAAATGGTTATGGAGATGCGAGCCTCCGCCATTGATAGAGCAGGAGCAACAGCAAGAAAAGGAACATTCTCTGTACTCTTTCTCTTCCTACTTTTCATTTTAATCCTCTTCATCCTTTAATCCTAACATTCAAACTCACATACCGTTTTTCTTCTTTCTTTTTTCTTTTCGGTTTGGAGAAAAGAAAGATAATTTTCTTCTCTTTTAAAGCATCAAGATCTTATTTTTAAATCAATTATAGCCAGATTTACATATCCAAAGCAAGCCCACATCTTTTCCTGATCTGGGCTTTGTATTTTTCCTATTGGTAAGCTGCTTTGTTGCTGAATTCCTGAACTACCTTAAAATACTTTGTGGTCGGTGGAGTACTTGTTGAAATATTTCTTTTTTTTTTTTTTGGTTTTCTGTTTCGGCTAAACTTTCTTCTTTTTCTTTTTATTTGCAATAACTTAATCTCTTGATTTTCTGTTTTTTGGGTGCTATCTGGGTCCTGGGTTTGTTTGGTGAAAGAATCAGCCTTGTAGTCCAATATTCATGATTCTTGGAAGGTTGAAATTTCTTTTTTCTTTAGGTTTTAGGTTGTTCTCGAATTTATTTGTGGAACCCTGTAAACCCTTGAATCTTTTTGTTGTTGTACAATCATAAATTCCGTTGTTCCAGTCATACAATTTAGGCGTTTATTTATCGCCTGTTTTTTGTGTGAATTTGGGGATTTGTTTTCATGTGTGGAGTAAAATAAAGCGGAAAACAAATATTACTTCTATCTTGAAAAGGGATCAAACCCACCATTTTTACCGTGGGTTTTGATATTTTTTCAGTCAATTCAAATAAAGTTTCAATTTTTCCCTTTCAAACAAAAACTAACCCAACAGTACAGAAATTTTTGTTCCGGGAAAGCAATAATTTGACTGCTATGCATTGTGGGACACTGCTTGTATATGGGAATGCGAGATAGTTTGCTCCTGAATTTCATTCACAAAGTTAGATCTTGGATTCTCTTGGGAAATAGTGATATAGATTACGTATTCGGTGGATTCAAGACGATGGATAAAAATAACAGCATATGTTGGATTTGCAAAAGGAGTGTACTAAAATTCGACCTCAAATACCACTGTCAAAGCTGTGGGAGCATGTCCTGTGAGAAGTGTGTTGCGCAGGAACATATAAATGAGGAATTTGGGAGTGTATTTAGCATGAAGTCTTGCAAGCTTTGCTGTGAATTTTCTCTTCTGAGCAAAAGTGATCGAAAATGCAGTGGTAAAGTTTATCCTTCTGAGTCCCCAAGGCAAAGCCCGGAATTGCCGTCACCAACTTTTAGTGGTGAGAGGTTTGACATTCATTCATCTCCCATGTCAGCTCATTGCTCGACAAGCAGGTGATATTTCTGATGCAATTTAGATTTGCTAGTCGCTGTTTTTGTTTAATAATCTGTGTTGGTGCTCACAAATTACCAAGAAAAGTTATTTTAGTTTTCTAGATGAAAACTGAGGTTTCGATTGGGTACAATTTCATTTGTTTTTTTTTTTCTAGGTT